GCTGCGAACACACCGTGCCAAGTTTAAATTAGCGCTGTTGATATGTTTTGGATTTGTCTAACTAACCTATGTTTAGCATCGCTTACTAATCTATCGAATATAATTGTCACACAGAAGTTCTGCCAGAATGAAGTGTTGTTGACAAATCATGGATAATTTGTATTTATGGCAAAGTAGTATCTATACATATATATGTATACGTACATATACTGTATATACTAACAATATTATATTAGAATACCGCATTTTTCAAAAGGACAAAATTATGGCATATAATATAATGTACAAACTTTCGGGTATGGTTTTTTTACATTAAAATTACAGAAGCGCGAAAACAGTTTTATTATTATGGATTGAAGTGCCGACAAACCAATGAAGTGCGAGAAAAATGTAAAATGAGGAAAGTATGTGCATGAGCGTTTGAGATATCGATAAAAAATGTACTCGTCGTGTTAATATTTTATGAATCACACACTATTCTTGGTTAGTGTACTTTTATTAACCATTAATAGGACCTTCACCGCTGTGCAAATTGCATAATGCATATACAAATGTCATTCTCCGTAACAATATATTCGGATAACATCAAAAATATACAATATTACGACCTGTCACAGTTGCCTGAGTGAAATAAAATTATGTATTCAGAAATATAATCCTATTTGTCTACAATACTCAACCAATAATTAATGACCAAACTTACAGCCTTATTTCAACATTAGCTTTTGTAATTTATAAGCCGAAGATTACTGCTTAATTTTTCTTAATTGCTTTTATGTTTCAGAGATGTAACTACGTAAAATAGTAACTTTACCAATCGAATTCGTTTTTCTTATCTAGTTCCGTATGCTATTTTGAGCAGTCACAAATACTATAGATTTTCCATAATTTTACTTATATGCCATAAGCATTGTGGCTGCGATGAGAAGATTACGTATAATTGTTTCCTAAAGTCTATTAAGAGTATGACGTTAATAAATGTTGTTGATTATTACTTTCAGTAATATCTTAATAACTTATTGTGGCTACAAATTAATCAACATACTTTGTAGGTGACGTGTAAAACATATACGGTAGCTTTTTTATATACCATGGGAAGTGTTGCTAAAGACTATGACTTTGCTTCTTCAGTATGTGTATATAAAACATATATGTAAACTACTTGGGTTCCGTCACAATGCAGGGATAAACGGGTAACTTTATTCTAAATCGAATTAATAATCGAGCATTTACCCGCCATGCAGTCACTGATATAAGTAATAGTAAGCATTATAATTTTGATTTATGACCAATAACATCCAAACGAGTACTATACAGCTGGGCTTATTCAAGGTTATGCAGATCACGGTAAAAGCGCGGGAAATAATTTCACGTCGTACAATACAGGACGATGCGATTACTCGATGGTCAGCAGACCACATCAAACTGCGATTGAACCAAAAATAGTAACAACAAAATAGATTATAATTGATAGTGATATTTTTTCCGCTCTGTTGATACACTAGTCAAGTCAATCCGTTTGTTGTTAGTGATGATTTGCTGAATATAAATGGCTACTCCATAATGTCGGGTTATCGACTAACCAAAATAGCCGATGATTACAATATAATAGGCTTTTGGCGATTAATTGATGGGCGAACGATCATGCAAACAAACGCCATTACCACAACATGTGACCATTGCATTGTACAACATTTCACCACCGGGTCGTCAATGACATTGGGAAAGATTAATTAATTATAATAATAGAACAAAAATTATGCCTATAATGAGTATGAAGTATTGCAGTATCGACGATAACCATCAATGTTATCATTGTAGCGTGTGTTTTTTTTTTCATTTGACGTTTGTTGGTGAATGATTACTAAATCACTGGCTCATTTATAAATGACTTTTATGATATCAAACTTGGTTTGTGTTACATGCCCAAATAATCGTTATTGATAAGCTACTAATACGCAGAATAGCCTTTTTGGTAAGACGTCTTGCGTAATATTTTCTCTGCCCACCGAAACATCACCCCTCTTTGATTGCATAAAAACTGGTTTATACAATTACGTAGTACTAAAAATAAAAGTATGTGCTTGAAAGTGATGAAATTATCGTCATGCGTTATCGACCAAATTATTTTCCCAATTATTTTCTTAATCATTTCTTCGACAGTCATATGTAACGTACTTATCATAAGAACGATCCATGATAGCGGAATAGATACAGGACTCCAAAAAGTGCATTCCTTTACCCGCTTTACTTTTGGCAAGCTGATACCGTTGATGTTACATTGATCACCATGTCATTATCGCATCTGATGCATTGACATCAGCACCAACGATGTCTCGCACCAGTCATGTACGTCCCCCAACACTTACCCCTGCGTGCCATTATTTCCATTCAATTTGATGCAGGTGAAAGGCACGAGCCACAAGTGGCAACTGCATGTCTCGCACAAAATAATTTTTAGAAAAAAGAAAGAAACAGCTCACGTTCAACATAAGATAGAATCAATTGTGTGCAAAAATCATGATTTGCACAGGGAATACAAATTCAAACAACCGTCAATGACAGTGGTAATACGTCACTATGGAATTTTGTCGACAATATATAATTATTTTAATATTGTGTTGTTCATTCAAATAAACAAACATTTATTACATAATTATAGATTTTGCTATATTATAAAGTAATTTAATAACCTTAGTATATTAACAAGTAATCGTTGGGGGTAGGGAAAATAACCTATCGGAGTAGATTTCGGGAAAGTGCGTAAATGAGCTAATACTAATACAGGCGTATCCGAAACTGAGCAAGTAAGCCGGGAAGCCTAACTAAAAGTAAACTAAACGTATTAGATTAATATAGGCACAATACAATTACCATTGTTTATAAAATTATTTTGCATCCAGAAAAAAAAACAAGTTTTGCGTGTTGTATAATAAGCTGTATAAATGAGTCTGGAGACTCGATAAATGAATAATTAAACCATCATTTGGTTTGTTGATAATCTATGCTTTTATCATTATTGTTATAGTGAAGATTGATTACTTTTGTTGACTAAATAGAATAAAAATCAATGAGTGAATAAACTCATGTCAAAATTGTCTTTGCTCATTATCCATTGCATAATTTTTACTCTACCTTTGTTTGGTCATTTGCATTTAAATTAGCAGAAAATTGTTACACTACATCTCTTCCAGTTAAGAATCCCTTTCTTGAAAATGTGTTCAAAAGTGATTCGTATTCTGACAAAATTTTTAAAGTTAATACCAAAATAAAATTTCTAAGCTTGGACCTATCATGTATGAAGTTTTATACGAGCTAGTACTGTAATACGTGTAAATGACAACATCATACGATTGTTAACATCTCATTATCTCATTCATTGCTGTACAGTATTAGTATCCGTGAAGTGTCCCGACAATAACATAATTTTGCAAAAATTATTTTCACACGGAATGCCAAGCAAATTTTGGATAAATGGAAAACAGAGCTTTATTATAACTTGAATTATTATTATGTCCAAATGATTTAATAAGTTTTGCTCCATGCATGCAAAACAATTGACTTTTTTTTATACAGTAACGCTCTTACGCACTACCGCTAATTAATAATTTCAAAACCTATATAAAGGAAGTAAGTGCCGAACGATTCTTGACATGCTTCAGCAGGGGTAAACCATGACAATAAATAACTTGCCCGAAGAAGTTCAAGTAGAAATAGCGAGCCACGTAGAAACACCTTTCGTTCTTGGGTGTTGCTCACGCAATTGGCACAAAATAGTAAATTTGCCATATACAAAGTACAGGTGGATACTCAACAAGTACGGATTTATTCACGCATTATTCCATGCTGTAAGAATCGGTAAACCATTGTTCAATCTTGATGTGGCTGAGCTCGTACTAAGAAATGCTCATAACAGTCGACATTTTGTTCAACGACTCAAGCTTGCTTATGAAAATTACGGTTTGTGGGGTAACATTTCCGACGATGTGTACGAGCGTATTCTCAATTATAAAAAAGAATATGCATGCAGCAACCATAATGACATGCAGTCAATCCGTCAAGCATTGGAAGAGGCAAAAAAACGAAGACGATATCAAAACAATAATTGAAGTACATGGCTTTGCACCTTTTCCTCCCGCGCCAATTTCCAAGACGTATATATTCGAAAACTCTGCCGAATACGAAGACGATCTTCACCAAAATGGGTATGCAACAGCCCCGAATTAAAGGTCGTGGCAAGGGCGATAACCACTTATCCAAATTTACTGAACGTCTGGAGGAAGATAGGCTATTATGAAATAACCAAAGATTTGGAGAATCCTGTTGTGCAATTTACTCTATTAGATCTTTATTCAACCGGCGTTCCTTCAGCCCAAATAGTTGCCGAGAAACTATGCAATCTACAAGCAATCGGATTTTCATTGACTGCCACTCTGGTTGGGAATGCTATTCTTTTATTTAATCGGAGGTTAATCGACATCGGAGAGAGTCTCATTGAGGCCTTTTGTATTGCTCAGAAAATGTCTAAAGCGGAAATTCTTGACGTATGCTTGATAGAATTGCTTGACCCGGCAAGAAATCTCGAACAATATGATGCACTTTGTTATATCATCAACTCGGTTGACGATCCCGAAAAGAAAATTCTCTCTGCATTTGAAAAGTACAATGTTGTCGAAGATGGGAATGACCCATTGCTTTTCCGATCTTACAAATCCCTTAAATACTCACCGATAGTATATCGGTACATGTTAAGGTTCGGTGCACAATCCTCGGTGGTTAGATATTTGATGAAAGAAATAATAATTGTCCATACGCAGCTTGACAATACCGAGGATGTTGACAAATTGAGAGATGCAGATGCAATTCTTGACGAATATTATGCGGCAAACGTACACGTTGATCGATCGCTTTTGCCGCTCTTCAAAGACTGTCAACGCACAAAACCAATTAGATGTTTGTTTGACGGATATCTGGCAAAGTTGTTTGAATCTAAAGTCCGATATCAAACTTTTATGACATTCGAAATTCCGGAAGTAGACGTACTTATGTCACCCACGGAGACGGAAGAATTGAAGCAACTTTGGTTGGAAGATATCCAAAAATTCGAAAAGTTAGCAAATGGCGAATTTAGAAAACAAATTACCGAGTTTTTAACCGTTTACTATCTATCTCGAAGCAGCCTCAATTATTTTAATGAGCAACTTTATTGAGTCTGTCGGTGAATTTTTATGAACACGGATTTCAAAATTAAATTAAACGTTAATTTTTTTATTACGTATTTTAAGCACAATTATTATAAGTATACTTTTCTAAGAGACTTATGTATTCTAAGGGTATGCATTCATTATGAATAAAGTCAGGTTATGCGGAAACATGTTCTAATAAGTTGGTTGTCATTATCTGTGGGGACCTAGTGATAAATGCACCCTCTATCCTGCACGCATGTGATTAATATTTGTATTGACCAATCAGATTATTACTATTCTCTTTGTAAATAGAAACTAGCGATGCTTGAGATACGCTTCGCTTGTTTGTGTTAGTTTGGTATCCCGTTGTGGAGAATTTAAGGTTGACGTATTTCGCTGTTGGAATGTCTGTAATGGAGGTAAGGTAGTCTTTGTATAGATTGTGTTTGGCTTTGGTTCGCATGGTAGATGCGATTATATAAGTGCAAACGGTAGTTTTTCTTTCCTAATGTTTTATAAGCGGTTACGTATCTAAAGCTTGTTCGGATGTTAATTGTAGTATATTAGGTTAGTAAATATTGTATATCAATGAGATGTTGAAATTATATTATGTGCGATTCTTTTATCGATCCCATTTACTATTTTATCAAGTTAAGTAATGAATCATATCGAATGTTTCCAACGTTCGAATGGAATGGAAAGTGGGTGAGTGTTTGGGTAGAGAATGCAAAATGATTGCTTTTTCATTCACTTTTCAGAATTACTTTCTATTTTTCATTGTCTATGAGTAACTGCAGTGAATAAACTTTGTGAGCGCGTAATTTCTGATTACATAGGCAGACTCGATAAGTCGGTCAACCTCCTTTACTGCTATGGAAATTACCCTTGATAAGTCGATCTCACGTGATATTAGGCGAATATCATTACTATTTCAGTATAGTCGATTATATAAAAAGTTTTTTACTTTGATTTTATTCGAGCCTTGTGTAATACAAGTCACAGGTCTACAAGTACATCTGACTATATGCTATAATATAATGCACACCCGATGAACACTGGCAGTAGAGGCAGAAGCAAAGCAGGTAGGAAATTAAAAACACTCACTAATCTTAAAAAAAAAGAGCTCTGTGAGTACAAGAATAATCCATCCAAGAAGAATGAAGAAATCGGCAAAAAGTTTGGCATTAGCAAATCGACATTCTTAGAGAAAAAAAGAGATGGCTTATATAAGAGTAAACAGTTTATTTGTTTCAAGCTTAAGACACTTAAGCAGAAAATCGAGAAAAATGAACGAATTATTCAACACAAATAAGCATGGATATTTATTTAGAATAATGGATTTTCCAATTCGCTTGCTATTAATACATATAAAAATAAAGTTTTACTAATTAGTCATGTGAATTCGATAAGTCGGTCCACCAAACCAGCCATCAAGGACCGACTTATCGAGTCTGCCTATGTATCTGTTATTATTATGGATCAGCGCTTATTCAAGTAAAATTATTCATAAATTGAATGGTTTATGCAACAGTAATATTTTAATAAGTATGCTTATTAATGCTTCATGACTTTTTATTCGCTGTAAATGATATGTTACATAGGCTGCGCTAATAAGAATGACCACGGGGCCGAATATGTTTATTGAAAACTAAACCAAATTTATCGATATTGATTGTAGTATGTATGGACAAAATGTTTTTCCATTGTTTGTAAGGAGATATTTGGACAGGAGGACATATTAGACAGCGGCAAGTTTTGATTCGAATATCGTTATTGTAAAAAACTATTTTTAAGCTATATTCTAAGCATGACACATTGCTGCTATTGAAGGCAACAAATAGGTTTTTCTAAAAAAAAAAAGTATTTGACGTTGTAATTTCCAGATTGATAACTTAATTTGTACTTAGTTGGCGTCTTCTACAAATTTTTTATTTTCTAAACTTCTACCACTAATTTTCCATAATTAGAAAAATAAACTAGAGCACTAGGCTCGCAACTGCGGAAAGTGATATGCTATTAGTAAGCTGCGTTTTGTCTTTACTTATAAGGGGTGCTTATTCACGGTAGTATACGGTAAGTGAAAAAGAGATATCTGTTTGCAAACCGATAGTATATCTATTAGGACGAGTGAAGGAGATAAATACTTTACCAGATGACGAGCGTATTGTAAACAATCAGGAAGAATTCGTCGTTTTGAGTTACAGTTTGTACTACTAAATCCGGTATCATACAGCAATAAAAATAAGACCGTATTTAAGGCTGAAATGTGCAGACCCGTAGACATACTGCTGATGCATCCGTTGAATGGACACCTTAAAAATACAGTCTCTCATATAATGCACCGCTGGATAATTTGTAATCGAAAGCAAGCTATACGGTGATGTCATTTACAACGTTAAATCAGAGTCGACAAATCAAATACCGTGGGTGGTATTGAATAAAAATACACGCAAGAAAAATCCGCAGAATAGCGACAGTGCATAAGCCAATACAAAGTCAGCTACCATCGTCAGTTAAGCGAAACCGAAACCGTTGATCGAAAATAAGGAGGCGCTACGACGATAAAAAGTCGCCGATATTGCGGCTGAAGTTGTTAAAAAGAAAAGGAAAAAGCAGCAGTTGACAAAGAAAATAATAGTATGGTCATAAATAACGATGGGAAAAAGCGACTGAAAAGGAGTAGATCAAGGAGAAGGGTTGAAAAAAGGTTTGCTCGATTTATTACTAACGGCTCCGTTTGTTCGCTTATTAAACTCTGATTTTTAAATTGTGAAATGCGTTCTAGCTCCAATGATAAAAATCTAAAGGCCGACCGATAAAATCGGCGGCACTACACACTTCTAGTTAAGTAAAAGAAAAAAGAGAGGTATATAAAAAACGTGCGTCTTTTCTAGTAATAATGTAGTAGACTCATAAAGAAAAAATGGTACTAAACTTGTTTTCTGTTTCTTATTTGTAGTAGTTGCTAGTTGCACGTCATTTTCTTGTATTATTCGATTGTTTAATAATATTATTGTCACTGATAACGACTTTTTTGTTAGTACTGAGAATTAATCGTCTCCCAGTCTTCCGTTGCGTCACTTGCTGGATTGCCGAAAGTCTATTATTGAGCAAATTTGTTAGTAATAAATAGAAATATAAAGTAATAAATACCAAGTCTACACACTTTCCCAGATCGTAAACTTTTGGTTGTCAAATGCTGAAAGTTAAGTAAATTTAATCACTTTAAGATTTGTATTTATTAATTAACAAAAAATGTCAGTAACTTACCTGACTTTTAACGAGTTTTTTATTTGGGTTGTGTTCATCTTTTCCCTTTCTCTTACGCTTTAACGTTTTTTCGTCGTTCTTGCTTTCTCCTGTTCTCTTACTAGCTTCCTCACCCTTTTTCTTTGCCTGCATACAAAATAAGCTATTAAAGCTAAAAATATTAAAATACCGATTCTAATACTCACACTTTCTTCGCTTTTTCTCCGCATAATCTCCCGCAACCAGTCTTCAAATGCCGTCATCCACTTGGAAATATCGTTTTGGGAAAATCTTTTGTCGCCTTGAAATTTTTTAAGGTCTTTTATTGAGCCCTTGACAGTCTTAAGGATGTAATTTATTGGAAACATCATATTAAATACATACCGGTTTTCAAGTATTGCTGTGACTTGATTTTGAACTTCCGGTCAAAGTTCAGCATCCATATGAGGCTCTCGAACAAAGAATGTATTGGCATCAAAATTTCCTTTACTAACTTGTGGCTTAAATCGACTTTGAAGCCGCGTCTACAATTTAAAAAAATAATTTAATGTATAAGCGAAGATTCATACTGATTGAAATTTACAATTTACGTTTATCATTAAAGTTCGAAATACCTTCTCATCTCGTCTACGACGAAAATATTCGTCTGAAGATGTCTCTTCTTCCGCGACAGA